GGGCACGAGAGGGGGGAAGGAGCGCTGAGGAGTTTGTGTGCGGCAGGGGATTGGGGCCAACGCGTTGCAAGGAGGGGTGGGGGACGGCTCGCGCGACGCCCACAGGACAAAGCGCTTGTGCGAGGCAACGATGCTTTGACTGGATGTGCAGAAACAGGTAGAGGGCTAAGCAACAACCTCAGCCTCACCCTTCAGATGAACGCCGACATGATGGCGCCCCTCCCTCCCGTCATGCCCGCCACCCTCCCGGCCCCCTGCCCGCGACGCGCACACACCCAGATCGGCTTTGGCATCTCGGTGACCCAGGGCTACGGACTGCTGGTCATGCGGCAGCCCAATGCCCCCAGCGGCTGGTGAGCCCATCACGACGGCCGCCGCAACACCTAACCCTCTCACCCACTGTCTGCGAGCCCACGAAGCACCTGTCGCGCCGCTGCAGTGCACCGCCTGCGGTCGACCAATGCCCAGTTGCATTCTGACCTTCACCCTTGGCGTGTCATCGTCTGCCCTGCCCCAGGTCTGCCCCGCTGCCGCTCAAGGTGGACGGCTTCAGCATGGGCGCTGTTATGGGCTACAGCGAGCAGAAGTCTGTGGTGGTGCTGGGCAGCGAGGAGGACGTGGCCGTCTTCCTCAAGGTGGGGCCTTGAGGGGGGGAGGGGGTTGGGAGGGAGGTGCCCTAGCACCAGAGTCGCACCAAAGGAGAGGGAAAGGGGGCATCGATTTTGGGGTTTGGCGACGGACAGGTTGACCGCCGCGGTGCTGGCGGTGTGCGAGCTTGACGCTGGGTAAGCGCCGGCTTTCGAAGCTGGGGCGCCGTACACCGTGCTCGGCTGGCATATTTCCTGCGGTGGTATCCAGCCGCATTTGCCCCCCACTGCAGCCCGCATCAAACATTTGCACAGCCCACCTGCCCAACCTCCGCGTACCCCGCCCAACCCCGTATATCCCCCAAACCTCTCTGATCTCTGCCACCAAAAACCCACCTCCCCCAGGACAAGCGGTCCCTGAAGATGGGCCTGGACTTTGGCCTGTCCCTGGGCAAGAAGGTCAACCACAACGCGACAGTGGACTCTGAGACCACCAAAAAGGCGGCAGAGGGGGAGAGCAAGACGCGCGCCTTCACCATCAGCAAGTGAGGCCGCCGCCCGGCCCCACCCCTGCCCCCCTCTCCTCGCGCTGGGCCGCTGCCCCCCCTGCTTGGACACAGCCCGTGCGCCCGCCCGACCCTCTGCCCACATTCAACCCAAAGAGTCGAGGTTTGTTACCCCATGAACTGCCCCATGAAATTTTGGTACTCTACCCTCGGGCGTTGATCAGGTCCACACCGCTGACGACTGCCCACACATCTCCCCCCAACATCCCCCCCCCCCACCACCAAGGGGCTTCATTGTGGACGTGAGCCTCAAGGGCACCAGCCTGGAGCACGACGTGGACGATATGGAGGCAGCCTACGGGGAGGGCACCACGCCCGCAGACGTGCTGCAGGTGGGGGGGCGCGCGGCGCCTGACCGCGCATTTTGGGGGCGGGGCTGGTCGGTGCTGATGCGCCGCGTCGGGCGGGGAAAAGGGGAAGTGCGGGCTGCGAAAGGGGGCTTGGCCGTAGGGTGTGCTCGGCAGCCTCAATAGGAAGAGGCTGATGTTTTATGTGGCTCAAAGGGGTGCTGGCAGCTGTCCCATTGGTTTTGCAGGCAGGCGCCCGCTGGTCTGGCGCGGCAACAGCACTCGCCCTACGTGCTGCCTGGTTGCTGTCGCATCAGCTGCCGCAAAATCGGCCTGCCCTCATCCATACGACTTTTCCAACATAGAAAGTGTCATCTCATCTACCCACCCCCTAACTGGGACGCCCTGCTGCCTTGCCCCCTTCTGCCGCCATGTGTCAACCCCTCCAGGGCAGTGTGCGCGCCCCCAAGCAGGCCCAGCTGCTGTATAATGTGCTGTCGCAGATAGAGGCGCGCGTGGCGGCCTAGGGTCATCAACCCCGCTTGCCCGGCGTCCCCTACGCATCCGGCTGCTGGGCCGTTTTGGCCACAGGCTGCTGAATCTGGCGCGTGCAGCCCAGCCCAGCCCGGCAGCGGCGGCGCCGCCGCTTGTGGGTGCGAAGGAGGGGGTGTGTGGCCTCACACTGCCCCAGGGTTCCGCAGCGTTCTACGCCTGCAGGTGTTTTCTTGCGTTTGTTGACGACCACTTTGTGTTATGTAAGAGTTGCAATGCAGCGTTCGAAAGGGATGATGTAGTTACTCACTCGCATACTAAAGAGGCGGTGATGAGGTTTCGCAGGGGCAGCTGCTGCCATCACAGCGAGTGGAGACCTACTGCTGTACGAATTTAGGATAGGAGCGGGTGAACAAAGGACGCGAAGGCCAAAATCGACATCAAATTTCTGCTTATGTCCCAGCGGGCTATGGAAGGTCTGGGGTGGGGGGATGGTAGGCAGGATGCCGGGCAATGACAGCGGCCCGACAGCTTGTGCACGCCGGCTGCAAGCACAACCCTCTAACTTATCCTACATGCCCACAAGAACACAACAACCTTCCATAAACAGGCGCAGGGGGTGGGCAAACGTTTTGCCCTTGCCCAGTTCAATGCATGGTAACCCCCTGCATCGGCCCTTGGCCGGAACGAGGGCTTTCAAGGCTGCGGGCGGGTGGAGCGCCTGCCGGCTGGGCCGGGCCCAACATCACAGGCCCGCGCGACCCGGGGCGATGCCCATGCGAGGCACGCTTGACCCTCAGCACAGGCGCGGCACAAAATCAAAAACGTACAAAGGCTGTTATGCACACCTGCGACGACTCGACAAGACAACAAGGCCAAAACAGCAGTCCAACGGGGTTGGTACTATCATAAGCGGCACGCCCACAAACCCGATGCTAAGGGGGGGGCCCTTTTGGGGAGCAGGGTCAACAGCCGCGACAGCCGTGCTGCGCTGCGTGCGCGCAAGGGGCGCAATGAACGATTGCAGCACTGCACCGCGAACCCAGGGGTGTTTCATGTGCACCGGCAGCGCCCGTAGGCAGCTGGACTGGGCTCGAAGCTTCGGCCGCGTGGTCGGCACCAGGCTCCTGATTGACGTCAGCCCCAGGGCAGGGCGCTGGGGCCGCCCTCGTGCTGCAGCCGCATCACCACCCACAGCCCCGCGGCCATGACCGTGTAGAGACCCAGGTGCAGCAGCATCACCGCGGGAGGGGCCTGGCGGGCGCCGCCTGCGTGGGGTTGAAGCGGGGTGAAGGGGTTGCTGTGAGGAGCGATGCCGCGCAAAAAAGCCCATAAGCCCAGCAGCCGCAGCGCTTCCTGTGGCGATGCTGGCGATGCGGGCGCGTGTGCGTGCCGTCGTCCCACCCCACCTGGCAGCAGCTTCCCCAGAGCCTGCTGCAGCTGCAGATTCCACTGGGGCGTCTTGCCACTGCCACTGCCGCCGCCGCCGCCGCCGCTGCTGCCGCCAAAGGCGCGGAAGACCGTCGCCCTGGAGGGCTCTGGCACCCGCCACACGCCGCTGTCCCTGCAACCACGCGTGTGGGCAACGTCAAAACGCGAGGTGAAAAAGGCGGGTGGGCAGGCATGAGCGCGCCCACTATCTTTATCTGCGGGTTAGGATTCAGGGTATCGGGGTTGACCCTGAATCCTAAGCATTCCGGCCCATAGTGGCTTGCAGCACACCCAGGTGCAATGAAACTCCAAAATTAATGCCATCCCACAGCAGCTGCCTTCCTGTCCGCCCAGGAGCAGAAGGCATGGCCACTTGTCTGACCTGCCTCCCACCGCCTCGCTCTATTGCCCACCTGTCTTTGAAGGCGCGCGGCGCGACAGACATCTCCAGCCGGAGAGTCCGGCGCGCCACTATCTGCTCAGGGCTCAGCCGCCGGTACAGCTCTATGGCCTGTGTGAATCGTGTGTGTGTGTGTGTGTGTGTGTGTGTGTGTGTGTGTGTGCGCGCGTGTGTAGGGGCCAGATGCAGGAGCTGGCAAGGGGGGCCGATGACTGCAGCGGCGCGAGCGGAACGCATTGTCAGCAGCCCTAAGGCAAGGCCGCGGGTAGGGGCTTCCCTGTGGTTGCGCCAAAACCTCAGCGCCCTGAAGTCTAGGACCGCCCCGCCTGATGCCCCTTGATGCCCCAGCTGCTGCAGCTGCTGCTGCTGCTGCTGTTGGTGCCGGACGGGGCAGCTGTGCCGTGCAGCACAGGGAGCGAGTGCTCATACTGATGGGCCCCCCAACACTGGGAGCATGCAAGCTGCACCAACCCACCCGTGCCGCTAAACCCATCCTCGCTGACAGCCAGGTTGCTCACGGACAACAATTCCTCCGCACACGTTCCAAATACATCCACTCGCACACACACATACAAACAGGTACATGCAGGCACACATGTGCAGAGTGGCATACGCGTTCTCACATACCCACTGACCCACCGACCCCCCCCAGACACACATGCATGCGCCCACTCACACACCCACCCACCCACCCCCACACACACATACACACTCACTCACACACGCACCCTGCACGCCAGGTCGTCTACGCCCAGTGCGCGCGTGATGTCCAGGTTAGTCAGCGCGCTGTGCAGCTCCGGCATGCCCCCCTCCCCGCGCCCCGCCGCCAGCAGCGCCGCGCGCTGGCTCGCCATCGCGGCGGCGCCGACGTACAGCGGCATGAGGGGGTGCAGTGCGAGGAAGAGGTCGAAGAGGCGCGCCGCCACGTCCAGGCCGGCCACGTCGTGGCTGAACCAGGTTATGAACCAGGAGAGGGCGTAGTAAGGGGGGAGCGACAGGTCGCGCGCCAGCTCAGCGAGCTCGGGGTCGGCGGCCTTGTGAGGGTATGGGGTGGTGGTTGAAGGAGGCAAAGAGAGGTTAAATTCAAGGGTCGTTGTCAGTCATTGAGTGATGCAGAGCTGCTTGGCAATGGGGTTTCCGGAGGCTACAACCGCTGCCTGCACAGCTGCGTCACTCGACCTTTGTTGCAGACCAGTGTGCGGCTGCTGCAACCCCTCGACTCGAGCTCACCATCGTCCAAACGCCCACCAACACTCGCACACGCGCCCACTTTTACAGACAGCACGACGAGCCACCAGACACTCCAAACGCCAACTCACAAACACACACATGTGCGTGCATGGGCACACACGCTGCAAGCGTAGACAACGCACCGTCCCCTCAACCCCGCCCCCCGCCACCCCCCCTGACCTGCATCACGGGCTCCATGAGGCCCAGCAGCTCCAGCACAGGGTCCAGCGTCGGCCGCGTCGCGTCCCGCAGCGCGCCGGTGGTGAGGCGGCACAGTATCGCAAACGCGGCGCGCTCTCCCGCCACCAGCAGCAGCACCGACGCCACGTCATGCAGGCCCTGTTCGAGGGCGCCGGGAGAGAGGGGCAGCAGCGCAGCGTTGCAGCACGATGCAAAGCTGCCGAGGTGCTTGCACATGCTGACAAATCGTCGTTACAAGATGTAATGGAATGCGCCAGCCCGTGAGGTGCAGCCACGCGATCATCACCTCCGCGCGTGTCCTGCCGCTCTCCGCATGTGAACCCCCAGCATTCCACATGCATACTACCTCGCCTTGCAAAAGGCCAGCCGCACACTGCGGCAGCCACTGCAGGCGCCCGTGTCTCCTCTTCTGCGCGGCTCCTACATGTCGCCGCAACCCCAAGCCTGCTGACCCATCCAAACAGCGCACAGCAAGCCACCCAATCAACTGCAGCACGCACTCCAAGCGCCCGCCCCGCCGCCGCGCCCCCAACCGCCAGTGCCTATGCCCCGCCGGTCTTCCTCCCCCCCCC